AGAAAAGAGAAAAAAGAAAAAAGGTGGGCGGGACAAACAAAACAAAAAACAAAGGGGGGTATCCTCTGATTCTATATACTGTAAATCCCTCGACTTCCCCTGGAACTCTCCAGCGCTGCTTGGCTAAGAACTTGCTTTTCTCCTGTCCTTCCTGCTGGTCTTCTGGGGGAGGGGCCTGCTTTGCTGATTCTCAGGTGTGTGCACCTGGGGGAGCTGCCCAGTCAGTCCCCTGCCAGGTGTACAGCTCAGTGGGAGCTGTTTATCCTGTGAGGCTCCTGATCCCTGGCAGCCCGCTCAGCCCCAGGCACAGGGTGACACCAAGAGGAATACCACCACTGGTGGTGGCCAGCTCTCCAGCCCTGGAGTCATCTCCCGCAGTAACTACCGCAGCTCCCAGTCCGCAGGGGCCTGGATGCGCCAGGGAAGGGTGGCACTGATCTGCACAGCTCAGGGCCACCCGGTGGCAGGAGCGTCTTCTCTGCCGTGTGTCCTCCAGGCCTCCGCCTGTCCTGGGGGTAGCGTTGGATCCTGGGCTGTGTCCCCGCGGAGCCCTGAGCTCCAGGGCTTGCACCTCTGGAATCGTGCTTCCGGTGCTGCACAGTCCCCTCTGTGTGGATTTACCGCCTGAGCTGAGCTGCTGCCCAAGCTGCTCCCGAGCTGCGCAGCCCCCTCTGTGCAGAGCTGCTGCCGGAGCCGACGCTTGGGCTCCTCCCAGGACCCTGCAGGGGTGCGCTCCAGCCCTTTCTGGTACTGGCAGTGTGGCGAGCTCTCCCCACCCTGGGGCGCAGGTCCTCAGTTAGTGCCCCTGGGAGCCTGAGGGCATCCCCGCCCTTCCTGGGATCCTGCTCCAACTCCCTGGGAGCACCTTTCCCTTCGGGAAGATTGGTGAAGCTCCTGCTTCTCCGGGTTGGGGCTTTCCTGTCCTGGGGGCACTCGCTGCTTGGCCTTAGCCCGGCTCCTCGCGGGGCCCCTCCCCCCTTGGATGCTTTTTTATTTCTTTATTTTTTTTTCGTCTTCCTACCTTGATAGAAGCGAGAACTCGTCTCTCTGTAGCATTCCAGCTATCTCTCTTTAAATCTCGGGCCGAATTCGTAGGTTTTCAGGATGATTTGAAAGTTATCTAGGTAAGTTGGTGGGGACAGGTGACTTGGGGACCCTACTCCTCAGCCATCTTGCCCCACCTGTATTGGTTTTTTTAGGAGGTCATATAATTGAGGTGTTTTTAAACTTCTATTATGTAGAAAATCGCTCCTTGAGATCACCGCATAATTAAGAATTCTGCCAAATTCCTTGTTTAAGTAACTTTCAATTTTTAATTGAAGTATAACCAAATTTTTTTCTTTACTTTTGTAATTCCTTTTACGTTTCATAATTAAATTTCACGTTCATGATACTAAGGGGACATTTCACATGAATATATCATCAGAGTATTTAGGAACATACTTAAAATATCTTTATATAATGAGAAAACTTAGGATGGATTTTCCTGGTTTGATTTTTAGGAATTTGGGTACATACACATACACAGAAGCTGGAGTGTTTTGGCTATTAATCTAGGCCATTGTGACCATAAAAAAGATTTCTTTATTCAATCCTGTGGTTTCTTTTCCCACACTCAGTGTATTTTGGATATTAATTAAAAATATATCTTTAAAAATTATTTCCTTTAACAATATTGTGTATTTATTGGAATATTAAAATAATAATAGTTAATATTCACTATTAAGTCCCCTTAGTACTTGTAGGCATTTGTTTGTCAAACAAGGATCTGTAAGACCTAGTATTTTCCAGTCTTTTTCCTGTCATTAGCTGATTCTATCTCTTTTATTAAAGAAGCATCTATTTTCCTGGTTTAAAATTCTTACTCTGACCTGTTACATAATGTGGTTGTTGTGATAATGTGTAAAGAATTTGACCTATAAAAGTAGTGGATATTTGTGATTTAAGTCTTACTCAGGATGAAGCTTCTAACAAAGTTTGTATCAGTATAGAAGGAATTTGAAGTGGTAGTTTTCGTAGTTTTGGATCAGTGTGGGTGGTGGTTTATATACGTACATGTAGCAGTGGCTCTGAGAAGAGAAACAACTTCCCAAGGCTGTCATGACTGTGCAAGTAGGTGGAGAGTCTTAGGCTTTTGTGAATCATATGGGCTTTAATATTTTTAATTTCAAAATAATTTCATACAGAAAAGTTACAGATGCAGTAACAAAGAATTCCTGCATATTTTCATCCAGATTTGTCAACCATTTATAACATTTTACCAGGGTTTCTTCTATGTATACATATGCATATTATTATTTTAAGAATCACTTGAGAGTAATGGCCAATATGATGCCCCTTTATAATACTTTAAGATGTGTATCCTCTTAAAAAAAAAAAGATGTGTATCCTCTTAAAAAATTGTTGATTTATTTATATGGGAGGTGGGATGAGCGAGTGGAGGGGAGGGGCAGAGGGAGAGAGAGAAACTTCAGGACCTGAGCCAAAACCAAGAGATCAACCAACTCTGCCACCCATTCATCCCCAAGATGTATATCCTTAAATAAAGGGCATTTATCATAGTATTATTATCAAAATCAGAATATGTAATTTTTAATTTAGCAAATGTTTGCTTAGTTGGAGCAAAGTGTAGGTAAAGTGAAAGTATAATCTAGAAACTATACTTTTTATAATATAGAAAGTATTTAGTTGCTTAAGGAAATTACAGTCTGCTTAATGGGTAATAAATCAATTACAGAAAATTACTCTATTTTAAAATAAGATCTGTGATGTAATGAGATTTACACAAGGTATTTAAAAAGGTACTCTAGAAATATGAAAAAAGCAGTCACTTAACATAGGGAATCAGTGAAATAGTTCCTGATGGTGCTGAGTAAGCCCAAGAGATAAAAATGCCCTGTGGAAGGACACTGGGAGGGATTCACATCCCAGAATTCATCCTTTATCTTATTTCTGCCCTTGACAAAGTTCTGAGGATGAATATGTTACTGCAGTAACTTCATACTGAAATATCAGCAATATGTTAAGATAGGACAGTTTATTTCTATGAAACTTGATGTAGTGCTTTCTTCCTTTTAATTAATAAATTTTAACCTAACTTTATTGGGCTAATAAGAAATAGATTTCCTTTCCTAAGCACTTGTCCCTGTGTTGTTTTTTAATAATATCTTCTCAGTTATTAAAGACAAGAAGTAATGGCGTTGGTGAGCTGTAATTACCTTAAAGGAATGGAAGGAATGTTTTTAAAAACTTAATGAAGCCACTGTCAATCTAGAGCATAAGGAATAGTCACTGTTTTTATATTTCTATCATTTATATATTAAATTTTATACATGTAAGCTATTCTCACATTCACTATAATTTTCCTGAATTAATCAGAAATAGCCTTATATAATTTTTAGACTGCTAGTTTAAGATAAAAAGGAGTGAAAGAGGCATACTTAGACTGATAATATGACTGTAGCAAAATTTTGAAAATCTAGTTACTGAAAATAGCTTGTGATAAGGTGGTTTCTTCAGTATTAAAATTTTATAAATTGTTTTAGAATAAGGTCTATAGTGCCAACCACTTTTATATGGAATGTAACTGAACTGTTTCACTGGTCTTTATTTCTTAAGCAGATGTTTTAAGAATTTGTTGTAAATTTATATAAATGCTTAAATGTGGATTTTTAGCTTTTTGTTACTTTTTTTTGAGTTCACATATACATTCAGTGTTTTATGTGTTAAAATTTGGACATTTGGTAAGGGAATTCCCATAATGGAATTTCAGACTGTATTTGATAATATGCTATTTCTTTTGCAATCTGTTACCTATTGTTTTTTGGTTTTAAAAAAGGATTTTTTTTTTTTTAAGATTTATGTATTTGAGAGAGAGAGGCGCATGCCCACTCTCCTGTGAGATGGGGGAGGGGCAGAGGAAAAGGGAGACCAGCAGACAACCTGTAGAGCTGGGAGCTTTGTGTCTCTGTCCCATAGATCCCTGAGATCATGACATGAACTGAAATCAGCAGTTGGATGCCCAACCTACTAGGCCACCCAGGTACCCCTAAAAGGATTTTTTGATGTTTTTTTTTTTCTTGATATCCTAATTATGTTTTTTTTTTTTGTAGAAATGAATGCATTTTGATAGCATCATACTAAAAGAGCTGTAATTTATATGAATTTGCCTTAGAAAACAAATTTACTCATCTGATTTTTTAATCCTTTGGCTTGGTCTTTAATACCTTTGGATAATAAATGTAAAATCCTTTTTTTTTTTAAGTTTTTAATATTAGGAATTTGGGGTCAGAGAACCCAAGCAAATGATGATATGTATTATATTTTCAGAAGAACAAAGTATGTTTTGAGCAGGCCAAAGTCATACTCAGCATTCTTAGTATCCTAGAATATACATTTTTAAAATTTCTAAGCTATCTTCATAATTTTTTAATGGCTCTTGTGGATATTTTCCTGCTGCTTTGTGTCCTATTCATGACTCTGAAATTCAAAGATGAGTTTGGTATACACAAGTTAAAAACATGGAACAGTATTTCTTAGGGGTCTTTATACAATTTTGGTCCCCCCAAATACACTGATCCTACATTTTTGACTTTATTTTTATAGAAGACATGTATATACATGCAGTTCTTTGGAATCTTATCAGAGGAGGGCATTCCCCAGCCATAGTTAAGTAGCCCAAAACAACTTTATTTCTAAATCTTAACACAATTTCTGACACATTCTAAGCATCAGTAAATGTTTGTTCTTCTTAGTTATTTTTAGTGTAGTTATTGTGTTATTTGTTACTGCATAAGAAATTACTTCCAAAAGGAATGGCTTAAAATAACAATAAATGTTTTATTATCTCCTTGTTTCTATGGGTCAGGAAATTAGGAGCAGCATAGCTGGGTGGTTCTGGTTGAATGTCTCTCATGAGGTTACAGTGAAGATGTCAGCAGGGGCTGTGGTCATCTGAATGTTATTTTGAACCTAATGGCTATAAATTTTATATTTTTCAGACTATGTCTTCAGCAGTGGTACAGTTATATGCAGCAGATCGTAACTGTATGTGGTCAAAGAAGTGTAGCGGTGTTGCTTGTCTTGTTAAGGACAATCCACAGAGATCTTATTTTTTAAGAATATTTGATATTAAGGTGAGTTTTGTTTCCAGTTTAAATGGTGGGTGAATAGGTTTTTTAACCTCAGTTATAATTTATATATGTAGTTATATATATAATTTTGATTCATCCTGCATATTAGAAGAATGAAACTTGGTTTTAGGTAATGAAACTTGGGCATTGCAAACAAACAGGAATAGGTTGTAAGCCAGAATTAATAGCTTCCTATTTTATCTTTCAACTGCCACCACACATTAAAGGATTTGTTTGTTTGTTTTTTAAATACCTTTACATCTTGGGCTTTCCCTATGTTCTCTTTTTCTAATGATACTCTTTTATTCCATTTTGTCCATTACAGAGTAGCATATATAGTTCTTTCAGGGAATTATAAAAGTATATTTTAGTTTAGTATGTACTGTTAGTTACTTCAGCCTAGGTTTAAAGCCTTATACAATACCTATAATAATGTATTTGCTACCAATTTTTCCTTATGTTGTTTCTTAACATAGGTATGTTCAGATTTTCACAGCTTTGTATCTCTCACATTTAAACACATATCCACATTGTCCTAGATTGGATGCCCATTCTCAGGTATTCATCTCTTATAGTTAATGTTGATTACCTTTTTGCAGAGATGACGTCTCCACTTATCTTTTAAAACCTTTTCTGTAGGTAGACTTTTGTAATATGTATATGTGGAATAATTACCCCCCCAAAAGCTGAACTCTCCTGGGGGATGCTTAAGGGTAGATAGATTGTAGCCAAACTGTTTACTTCTCTGGGCTTTGGCTTATTAATTTATAAAATGGAAAACCATCTGGATCTATTGCAAAGTGTTTTCCTGAGATTCAATAAGAGTTAAGTTACTGTGCTTTGTAACTTAGCGCTTAACATCCACTTTTCCATTCTACAAGACAGCTGAGAAATGTGGCATATTGCTGTTATCAGTGGCTTACTCCCGGCAGTGATTCTAGGAAATAGGGAACATATGCATAGTTTGAAAGAAACTGCTTAGTTTTTTTGACATATTTCTCATTGTTAGTGAGAAACACTCTTTAGAAATCAAGTGCACATATAACTCCACTGAGAAGAAAGGAATTGCATTATATGTGTGTATAGCATATTCTGGATATTTTTAAATCATGGTCTAGGTAGAACTTTGCTTTCAAAATAGGGTAATACTTATATATTTCTCTAACCACTTATTTCTAATTGTAGGTAACCATTGCCGAATACTTGCAGTTAGCCACCTTTGGTATTAAGGTTAATTATATTTCTTCTGTGGCTGTAGATATGACAGTCCAGTCATCCATGGGTCCCTTAATCATACTTTAACCTTCGTGCACTTCAATCATCTGTCTCTTTCTGCACATGATTGATACTAACTACTTTTACCAGTATTTAATTAGAGGGCCAGTGTGTAAAAGTTAGGAATTCAGAGATTATTAATGAACAGTACAGAAGGTATATTTGACCTTCCCATCACCTGCAGAGTTGAGGAAAAGAGCATGAAATGTTCCTGTAATACTTGATAGCACACAGTCTATCGCTTTTGGAACTATGCATTGATAATCAGTGCATGTGCAACAGTATTCTACTCTTGTCTAACATTGATGATCTAGTAATTGTTTTAGTTTTATATTTGACTGAGTATATTTGGGAATATAAATCTAATGAAATTATATCTTAGCATACTGAATTAAACTCAACTTGATATGTAGTTTTTATGAAAGAAACTTCAGAATTTACTGTTTTATTAAGAAATTACTGATTAAATTATGTTATTTATGTTATACACGTGTTTTCTGTACATTTAAAAGCTAATGTTAATATAAGCAATTCCCTGAATATGAGTCATCTATTTTGTTTTATTCCTGGAGATTCTTCTTGGTAACTATTTGTTTTATTCCTGGAGATTCTTCTTGGTTAACTCTTATTTTAACTTTTTTCTAGGATGGGAAACTATTGTGGGAACAAGAGTTATACAATAACTTTGTATATAATAGTCCTAGAGGATATTTTCATACCTTTGCTGGAGATGTAAGTCATATATTTTATAGCCCTGTGTAATGTTATTGTTTTTACATTTGTCTGTGGAAAGCATTTATGAGCTTTTTATGCAAACACTGTATAAAGTAAAAAGAATTATTTTACTTTCAAAGCTTCTTCATAGATAGTATAGCTAAATTGGAAGAAATGGCTAAGATTTTAAAGGGCCAAAAAAAAAAAAAATAAAAAGATTTCAAAGAGTACTGTAAATATAATTTGCTGTGTAGAAAAGAAATTTGTTTTTTCATCATCTTTCTGTCTTTGGGCAAATAGCTTAACCTTTTTGGGATTTAGTTTTCTTATTTATAAAAATGAAATCTTCATTGCCCACTAAACTATAGTATCATTTAAACATTAAATATTAAATTGCAATTCAAAATGTGTGTGTGTGTGTGTGTGTGTGTGTGTGAGAGAGAGAGAGAGAGAGAGAGAGAGAGAGAGAGAGAGAAAGAATAGTTCATGGCCTAGAAAAGTGCTAAAATACAATAAATGTGTGTAAGGGGAGAACAGATTTTTAAAAATATATTGCTTATACTTGAGGAAGGTGTTAGATTTTCGTACCATATGCTCACAAGGATTGTTCGAGTGACAAGGTTATAGGTGATTTTAGTTTTCTTTATTTTCATATTTGTATTTCCTAAATTTTCTATAATGAGAAACAAGGTTGGATTAGATGATACATCTTTTCAAAAAGTATTTTTTTCTCTAGCTGTTTTTTTCACATTTTCCTTAATAAAATATAAATATATGTGTGTGTGTGTATATATATATGTGTGTGTGTGTGCATTAAATGCCGTTGTTAATGGCAGTGTGTTTCCACATTTTAATTTATCTGAATTAAGATAATAATTTAAATAATATCTACAATTAAGCTGTAAAATAAAAATATAACCTAGTAAAGGTAGACCTGACCTGCATTTGAACAACTTTTCCAGTGTTTGCCTTTTCTAAAATCTAAATTATTTTACAGAGCTCTGTTGAATGATCAAATTCAATTTGCTGTTGTGTTTTTTTTTGTTGAAGATGGAGTATTCCATTTAATATTTGAATGTCCACTATGAGAGCCAGCCTTTCTAATAGTAGTCTTTTACTTTGCCTTCTCCATGCCTTTACCATTCTTAAATAATTCAGATAGAATTAAAACTAAGCTAAATAAGCGCTTATCTGCTTAGTAAACTCAATTTTCCTTCTTCAGAAATGTACTTTATTGGTTATCAACTTTTTCATTAAATAAGCTAAATTCATGTTTTTTTGTTGTGTGCCTTTTTTAATAAAAATGTTTCAGACTTGTCAAGTTGCTCTTAATTTTGCCAATGAAGAAGAAGCAAAAAAATTCCGAAAAGCAGTTACAGACTTGTTGGGCCGGCGACAAAGGAAATCTGGTAAACTTTTTCTTTTTTTTCTTTAAAACATGAGATGGCAAAGTATGGCTCATGGGACAGATCTGGCCCACCACTTATTTTTATAAATAAAGTTTTAGTGAGACACAGTTGTGCTCATTGACTTACATTTTGTCTGTGTAATACATCTAATGGCTGCTTTTTTGTCACAACAATAGTTGGATAGTTACAACAAAGACCATATGGCACGCAAATCCTAAAATATTTATTCTCTGTCCCCCCAAAAAATGTGCTAATCCTTACTTAAGAGAAATATTTTTATTAAGAACTAATTTTCTTCAGGTTTACTGAAGAACTCATTCTAATAATCTTTTTTTTTGTTGTAACATTCCATAAATACTGCCTCTTACACTTGCATTTTTATGGCATTGTTCTTACATTCTTAGAATATTAAATACTTTGTGAACAAAGACTTTTAGGCAAGCATAGAAGCAAATAAGCAGTTGCAAACACAATCTATGAACATTGTTTTGTCTTTATTTTGTCTCTACTGTTGTCTATTATAAAACCATAAGGAACTTAGTTTAGCACATGGGACTGTAATACATATGAAATAATTAGAGAATGATGCAGGAGAGTATAGAATTTTAAATTTATTGATACAGAAATATTTGACAACAGTGTACTAGGCCTTTCTGTTGTGAAGTGGAAGATGGATGATTAGGAAAGGTGAACCTCTCTAAAATCATTATCCTAAGCAGATCAGTTTTAGGAGAAGAAAGAACATATGGGAGATGTGATCAGCAAATAGATCCCCTTAAAACTAGCCAAGCTGTTTACTCCTTAAGTTTTTCTGTATATCTGGCAGTGTGTGTTACCATAGTTCTGAAGATCAGTATATTTCAGGATGTGCTTTACCACCAAGAGGGACTAAGCCATGAAAAAATAAGACATTGGATCCAGAAAACAGGAATGTAAAATCATGTATTCCATTTTGTACATCTTTATTGTTATTTTAATGAGTTTCCAAGAGGGTGGTGAGGTAGAAATGAAAATAAAATGAACTAAGTTGCCTCACAATTGCCTTCTTATTATATCTCAATTGATGAGTACATAGAATTATTAGGGACCTATTTTTTGTTACTTCTGTTTGGGACCAAGGATATTTACTACTTGATTCCATGCTAGGAAAGGGTTTAAAGGTACAGAATCATTTATGGTTCAGTGCCCTATTTCAGTGACATGTGGTGCTAAGCCATGGTGCTCTCTGGGGTACCTTTTAGTTAGAATATATGACATTTCCAAATCAAAACAAGTAAAAATATTTCTTAAAATACATAATAATTGACTTTGAAATAGGAAGGTCACTTAAAGGTGTCTTTCAGCTGGTACAGGAATTTTGTTTTATGTAGATCCTAAACTTTTAAAAGCATGGTGTTTCCGAAACAGAAAGATCACATTAGGGAGACAGCTGATTCATCACTGGGTAGCACTTCATGCTAAGTCAAACTCCAGCCTTGCTTCTCTCTAACTTAGATATATAGAGTCTGACTTTTGGAGCAACGAAGAATTAGTCTATTTTCTTTTCCTCTCAGGAGTCATTTAATATTGGAAGCCATCTCTATTGTGTTATGCCTTCACTTCTTAATTTAACCAGTTTCAGTTTCTTACTCCTCACACGGTGTAGTTTATAGATGCATCATCCTGAATACTGTGGTCCAAATCCACTATAGAGATTTTTATGTCTTCTTCACGTGGTCCAGATTTGGAGAAATCTGTGGTCAAATTTGAACACAGTACTCCACAAACTAGTCTTACTTATTCTTTGATGTTAAAATACCTCTTGATTTGATTAAACACTGTTCTGCTAATGTTTCTAGCCAGTACCCTCACACCAGTAACTCCCATTCTTCCTTGTTCACCAGATCTTCCCCTTTTTTCATATGAATGGCTCTCAAGCCAGAATAGTGACTTATTTGTAAATTACTTTTTAGAACTTAACCTCTGAACTTTATATTTATCTCAGTATATATCCATATCTGTATTATCATCAGTTTAAGAAGTTTTTCCTCTCTGGTTGCAGAGATCATATCACCTGGGAAATGGAAGATTGACATTCATTGACATAGATAGGACTTGCTTATGTCAAATATTTTAGAAAGTTACTTCATCAGACCACCAGATGGAGTAATAAATTTATGTTTCCCATTGCCAAGATTTTTTAACTTGTCCCTCAGTTAAATCCTATTAATTTTAGTTTATATCTACTTATAAACTAATTACTTTATTATATCATTATTTATGGGTATTTTTCTTATAATTTTAGACAGTTTCATATTTGAAAATCTGTAGAAATTACATTTTTAAAAAAATTCTTCAACCACTTTTGAATTTCTTAAAGCCAAAATGATATCAAACCTGGTATGTAAGAGTGCAAAAGATTGATAGTTCTCCTGGTTTTACTCCTTCCTGATCTGCTATAGCTTTTTATTATTATTTGATCTGCCTCAGTGATCAGATGTTCCTCAGTATTCTCGTTACCCTTGTGCTTTCATTCAGTCCTGTGGCTTTGAAAACTGTCCATATGCTGATGCCTCCCCAAATTTTATCTACATTGCTGACCTCTCCCCCAAGCTTCAGGCTTGTTTACTTCATTTGAACATAAGAATAGCCTTCAAAAGTAACATGTCTGAGCAGAACATTTGATCCATGTTCCCTAACCCCAGTTAGACCCATTCCTACTCCTCCCCTCATCTTCCCCAACCTGGTAAAGGGCTCCATTCTGGTTCACCATGGTCTCTTATAAATCCAATGAATCTGTTGTCTTTGCTTTCAAAAACATAATGTGAATCTATTTCTCATTGCCTCTGCTGCTCCCCTAATCTAAGCCACCGTCATTGGTCAACTGGATTACTGTAACTCCCCCACTAGTCTCCCTGCTGTCACTCAGTGCCTCCTACAACCTCTTTTCCACATAGTAGCCAAAGTTAACTTTTAAAAACATAGATTATGTCACTTGCTCTACTGAAAACCCTATAGGATCTTCCTATCATATATAGAATACAGTCTATATTCCTTACCATGGCCTGTGGGACCCTACGTGGTGATCCAAGTCCCTGGCTCTCCTTCTGATTTATCTCCTTTTACTCTTCTGTTGGCTCACTCCAGTCCAGGCTTTATGATGTTCCTTCGTGCTGTTCCTCCTTAGGGCCTTTAAAAATGTTCACTCTCATTTTATTCAGATGTCAGTTCCTCAGAGAAACCTTTCTTAACCACTTTTACATTGACTTAGGAATAAGACCAAATTTAGGTGAATTAATTGATTTTTATGTTGATGTTTGTATTACATGTGTCTAATAATACTATTTTAATTTATTTTCAAACAGAGAAGAGGCGAGACCCCCCAAATGGTAAGCTCTTTGATACAAATTATTTATCAAGAAGATTTTAGATTGTAGTTTAATCCCTTTAGAAACATGTATCATACATTAATACTTAATGTTTAATATCTGTCTTCAAATATATTATGTCATTTTAAAATAACAAAGATGACTCTTAGAAATATACTATACTTTGGCTTTTTTGTAGGATGAAGGAGGACTAGAGAGGGTAATGATCACTATTATACCTTCATTTTGTATTGATTGATTAAGTTCAGAATCTGTATAATCCTGACTTAATGTCTTCCTTAAAGGTGCTAAATTTTGTGTAGCAACTTGTTCATTTCCTATGTTAAGATTTATGTTTTTTTCTTATTTCAAAATATTATTTCACACTGGTAATAGGAAACTGGCCCCTATAAGAATGAGCACTGACTTTAATAGTGTGTTTTAAACTAATAATAGCTGTATATAGCCTTCCTTAATTTGATGATGAGCAAGCACTTGAGGTATTGAGAATTCATTTTAAAAAAAACCAAACATGTATACTGGAAAGTAAAAGCAGAATTCCAAAATAAAAAGGAAAAGTCCCAGATCTTTAGGGCAGAGATTCTCATCCTGGACTTCACAAATCCTCCCTGAAATAGTGTGCTAAATTTTTAAGTGTATATATTTTCTCTGAAGGTAGAGGATGCAGAGCTTTCATCACATTTAAATGAGGTCCCTGACTCTGGATGTAAGGAATCATTGCTTCGGGAACCTTCATTATAATGGAGAATACGGCTTTTTTATTTTTATTATTTTTTAAGCATCTTGCATCCTCTCATCAGAATTTAGATGAATTATTCAGGGAAACATATAACCTGTGACAACTATTGGTGATTGTTAGGGTTTGTTTCTTTTAAAAAGATATATTGCTTTCTGATTTTGTCCTTAAATTTGTTTTCCTGTTATAAAAACATGAACTAAATATTGCTGTATTAAGTTTTGGATTATTTACCTTATTATAATTTTTCAAAAAAATGACTACCTTCAGTAGGGCTTACTTTGTGCTAGGTATTATATACTTTGTCTTTACATGGAAATTTTAATACTTAATAGGACTGCTGTGGGGATTAAACGAAGTAATCAAAGTACTTAGCATTGTAATTACTAAATACTTGTTATCATGAAGACGACAATGACAACAATAATTATAGCAGCTACTATTTAATGATCATTTACTACCAGCCAGGCACTGCCCAGCTGTCTAATGAAGTGGCTGCTATTATCCCCATTTTATAGAAGAGCAAATGGGCACAGGTAGGTACTTGTTCAGGATCACAAAACTAGTAAGTGGTAGAGCAGGATGCAGTCTCAAGAAGTCTTAACTTCACAGCCTGGCCCCTTAATCACTATGCTACATCCATAAGGTTTTGAAGGAGGAGCTGAGACCTGGAAAGGGTAAATAACATGCCTTAAGTTACACAACTAATACATGGCAGAGACAAAGGATGCAGGAGCTGCTGAGTCAGAAGTCCTTGATCTGTGAACTTTTACGATATGTTAGAATTTTTTCCCTTGTTGTGTGCTCAATATTTTAATCCTTTTGAATTTATTATTCTGCAGTCTGCAAGTGGTATTGAGTACCAATGGGGAAGGCTTCCTAGCAGTGGTATGAGAAAGTAATCTGAGATTTTAAAGTGCAGATGTTGTATAAATAATATAATTAAAGTTAGCGATATAAATACTTTATGGAGTTCTCAAAATTTTAATCTTTTCAATACATATAAAATGTACTTCTGAAGAGGCACCTAATCCATGAATACACAGAATTTGTATATTTTTTTTTAAGATTTTATTTGAGAGAGAGAGGGAGCTCTGAGTGGGAGGAGCAGAGGGGGAAGGGAGGGAAAGAGAGGGACAAGCAGACTGTGCTAAGATATAAGATAGATCATGACCTGAGCCCAAACCAAGAGTCTGACACTTAACTGACTGAGCCACCCAGGCCCCACCATGAGTTTGGATATTCTTTATGTGTCAGTGGAGTCTCACAATTTTATTACTCCTGGTAGGAGAGGTACTCAGAGAGAGTTACTTTTGTGTGATTACTCTTAATTTTAAATCTTTAGATTTGTAGTTTTAACTCTTTGGCACAATGATTCCAAACTTCTTTTCATTAAGTGAGAGTTTAAAAAAATAGTATTATTAAAAGGCAAAATTATATGGCATGTGTTGCCAGCATTTGTATATTTCTTTATAAAATATACATATAATATGGTATTAATATATTATATACACAATAAAGGATGAAATAATTATTAATAGAAATTTTAATATTTTTTCCTGCTGTGCAGTCATTTGTCTTGCTCTCTTCACTATGTGAAGACCTCTGTTTTAAGGACAGCATATTACTTTTCTGCATTTGATACACAACTAGGAGGTGCAGTGGACACCTTAACCACCTTGCAATGTCCATGCAGGTGCTTTGTCTTAAATCTTCATTTGGATGATCAGTTTAGCAGATTTTTTCAAATTGTAACTATTAAAAAGACACTTTATGTAGAAGTAACATATATTCCTGAAATGCAATTCAGTGTCTTCCTCACTAACTCCTAATTCATACATCTTTCTTTTTTCTTTATCGGTCAGTCTCACCTTTTAGCTTAGACGCTTTCCAATGATTTGTTCTCAGCTTCATGACTGCTTGACATCAGAGGCCTCTGGGCCACCTGTTTCTCAACTATTTTACCTTGGTGAGAGTTCTCTGCTTTTTATGTAATTAAGGGGAAGACTTTAGTTTGTTCTTTTAGTTTTAAAATTAACTAGAAATGCTGTTCAGTGAAAATATTAAAAAGCCTTTTCTGTGACAGTTGTCTTTAACCAGAAGATGGTAATTTGTCATTTGGTTTTTTTTTTTTTTTTTGAAAAAAGAAAAAGAAAGAAAAGAAAAGGAAAGAAAGAAAGAAAGAAAGAAAGAAAGAAAGAAAGAAAGAAAGAAAGAAAACAGTCCCCTCCATTATATATGTATTTAGTATATGTTCTTAGGATAAGTATAATTTCATAAATGAAATAATCTCTACGAGAGGTGATTTAAGAGTATCTCCATTACCAAATCTTCCATAAGCTTTAGTAAAAAATGACTGGGCCTCCACAGGTTGTCAATCCTTTTAGTTTGTCACTTTTGAAACAAATATTTAATTGAGCTCTAGAACACCATTTTAAACTTATTTCCGAACACCTTCAAATTCTAAAGTAAATGACTATTATCAACAGAAATAACCAAGTAGCTAATCTCTTGATTATGTAGGAAACTTTTTTCCTAAATTTTGAAAGTTACTAGTAAATATTTATTGAATGATGAACTGTTGAAATATATAAACTGAGAGAACTAATTGGTAAGGAAGTGATATATGATAACATTGGTAAAGTTAGCATTATCAATCATCTTATAGTTTGACTTTAGTGTAAAATAGCACAGTAGTAGTTAAAGAAAGGGTAGTGGACTAGGAACCACGGTAGCAGAATTCACCTTTGCTTGTGTCACTAATTGTGTGTCACCTGAATTCTTCTCATCCTTAGTTGTCATCTATAAGATGAAAAGTTTAGAAAAACACTCTAATTTCTCAGATAATGTTAATTTTCTGTACATCTGGATTTGGATAATTATAATTTGGATTTTCTACATAGACTTAAATAATGTTTTAACCAATACTAATGAAATTCATGTGTAATGACACTAAATAGCTAACTCAAAGACTTTATAAACTACTTGGCAGCCGTGTAACAGTATATCCACACCTCCTTTTGGGGTAGGGGGAGGAGGGGAAAAACAATCTGACTACAGTGTGAGTTAAACATTATTATTCATTCCGCATACCACTTCTGTTTGGTTCCTGTCTTCTTTAGCCTTGAACTTTCTTTAGAGATAGCTGAATTATTTTCTGTAGTGAGTTGTGAATCAGGCTTACAAGAATATCAGATTTTCGAGAAATTTCAACTACTAAACTTCACTTTGCCCAAATCTATTACCATTTAAAACATCCATGGTATAATAATTTTTATGTAACCTAAAACGGCATAAAAATATTTTTTTTTCTAAAAACTAATAATAGTTTTGTTTTTTGGTTTTTTTTTTTTTTGATGATTCTGGTTGCTGCTTTATAGTTTATACCACCTATTTCAGGAGGGGTGGTAATGTATAAGGAGAGTGCCTCACTGATACTCCTCTAAGTCTGTCTTAAGTTACTTCTTAAATTCTATTAAGTATAAACATAAAAGAGTAAACAGTAATTCGCAAGCATCTTACTGTGGGTGGTGTTGCTGATACTAATTTGTAAAGCTAAATTATTAGAGGGAAGGCGAAAAGGGAAAGATGAGAAGTAAAAACAGATCAGTAGATAAGCCTTTGAGTATGACACCAGTTTAATCCTCTAACAGTTGAATTCTGGGAATTCTCAGTAAGTCCCTTACTTTGTGAAACTACAGTAAACACTGAAATCTGATACCTGAACGAATGTGAAAAATCTAAGCATATCAACTATTTAGTTAGCCTTCTGTATTGCACAACTAATCTTTAATTATTGATCCAGTTATTTTTATTATTCCTTGACACTGAATCAGCTCATTTTAATGATCTTGTCCATATTATTCGCTAGCATCCGTTTTTCTCAAATAACAGTTTCCTTATCTCTTGCCAATATGAGCAACTTCCCATGGAATTTTACGTGAAAATACAAATAGAACTTTTAGACACTTATATTATATATAAGTAGACTTCGAATATGAAGGGAAGATAGCTGAATTTTGGTGATATTAAAAATACAAATCTTTCCAAAATGTTTACTTGTCCAATAAGGTGGAAGATGCCTTTTGTAAATTTATTTTAGTTCTATTTCATCTTTAATAGAGTTAAAAGAACATGAGTTATATATAATTTACCCATTTAAACATTGTTCTTTCAGGTAAATTTAATGAATAAGCTACATTCGAGGTTTTCAAGGAAATTGAATTAAAGTCAGATTGGCATTTAGTTATCACCTAATGTATGGTAGCCTGTAATTTCTTGGGATTTTTGTTTGCCATTCTTTGATTGTGTCAGGAGTCCTCAAGACCACCCCATGGTTGATTTGCTGGAAGAACTCAATAGGACCATATAGTGAGGTACTCATGGCAAAGATTCACAACAGTGAAAGGATATAAAACAAAATCAACAAAGGGAAAGACACCTAGGGTTAGGTCTGAGGGAAACCGTACACAACTTTGCCATGATCTTCTTCCATTGGAGTCAGAAAGGATGCACATAATTCCTCCACTAATAAATTGTTACAACACATGTGAAATGTTATCCCGAAGAGAAACAGTAGGGATTCAGTGCCGAGCTTATTGGGTGCTACTTTCACATAGTCCTCCTTTGTCTAGCACATACCAAGGTTTTAGTTTCCCAGAAGAAAAGTAGGCATTTGGCCTTAAGTACATTGTTAGCACAAATAGTTGAGGCACAACTAGCCCATATTAGAGAATGATAAAAACCTTCTTGGAATTCTATTTTCCGGATGCCAGCTCAAAGCAAACCTTTAAGCCTAAGGATGGCAGTCTCAAACCTGCTGTGTTAACTGTTTCTCTGTGCAATTTTGGTTGCATTTTATCCAACATTTTAAAAGTTGTCATTAATGTACTCATCTCAGAAATTTAGTCTGATAAGAGGTTTTATCAGAGAATCCTATATTAAAGTGGACTCTACAGAATATGTGATACCATTTAGTTAAATTTGTAAGGAATTTTTAAATTGAATACATTTCATTTAGACTCTCATGCTTTTTAAGACCAAAAATATTTTTGTGAATTTAGAACAGATTTTGTATATTATGTTTAGTGTCACTCCTAAGGGTTCTATTAAATAATATATGAAAATGCTAAGATATTTTCACTGTTGATTTTTGTGGAAGATGAGTGTTTTGAGAATTTTTCAATCTTGTTAAGCCCTGTACTTATAATGGTCAATGTGCATATATGTTGATAGGGAAAATATTATTGGACTTACATATGGTGGTTTTGGAAAATATAGTAGTAATAATTGTATAAGTACTTTTTCCCCTCATGGACTAATAAAGTTGAACTAAGATTAGATTTGTCAGATTTTTTTAAAAAGTATATGCTCTTTTTAATTTTTATTCTTGTTATATGATACATACCACTTTACCAACAAGTAATATGATGCATGTGAGGCTATTATAGTCAAAATTTAAGGCATTAGACCAATTAAATTTCAATTCTTACTGAAAATTTATATTTTCAATGAAATTTAGTGTTATAAGTTCGCTTTGAAATAACATCTATGCTAAGAATCTATGCTATGTTAATATCTATGCTAAACATCTATGCTATGTTTAAGAATTTATGATAGGCTTTTGAAATTTAGGCAGTACTTTATCCTTATTTATAAAAAATTTACCCTCCAAGTTCAAAATTTAAATATATATGTGAAGTGGTCCTACTTCAGAGAAAGATATTTGCTATAAATTATTAATATAATAATTGTTATCTTAAATTATATCCCTTTCATATTGTTTTGCAGGTCCTAATCTACCCATGGCAACAGTTGACATCAAAAATCCAGAAATCACAACCAATAGATTTTATGGTCCACAAGTCAATAACATCTCCCATACCAAAGAAAAGAAAAAAGGAAAAGCTAAAAAGAAGAGATTAACCAAGGCAGATATTGGAACACCAAGCAATTTCCAGTGAGAGTTCTTTTTGTTTTTCTTATCTTGATTTACTCGTTGCTGCTTTTGAGTTTTACCTTATTAGAAAATTTTGTTTTCTCTTTGGGAGAACCCTTACCTGTATTATTTGCATACCTTTTTCACTATAGATTTTGGTGGAAGCTCCCCCCCCCCCACCTTAAGGCTATTATAGCTCACTAGAGTTTCTATGAATCTTACAGTTTATTTACTTTTCTACCCATCAGGAAAGAAAGATGGAAGTCGTTTCTTTAAATAATTGTTGGACGTAATGATTTCTTACTTTTTTCCTATAAATGGTATTTGGAAATTTTTTAGAAGCACTGCCTTAATTCATTTGGGCTGCTATAACAGAATACCATAGACAGAGTGGCTTATATAAGTAGCAGAAATTTATTTCTGCAGCTCTGGAGACTATAGAAGAGACAGGCAAAATTTAGTGTCTGGTGAGGTCCCCACTGCCTGGTTAATAGACAGCTGTTTTTTTGGCTGTCTCCCTCTTACGTTGGAAGAGGGCAGGAGAGCTCCCTGGGCCCCCCCCTTTTTTTTTTTAAGGGCACTAATCCCATTCTTGAGGAATCCACTCTCAAAACCTAATCACCTCCCTAAATCCTTGCCTCCAAATACTATCACATTGGGGATTAGGTAAACATAGGAATTGTTAGGGGACACAAACATTTAGTTTATAGTAGGCATCAAACCTTTGGTATTTATCTGACATATTTTAAGCATTTTTAATACATCATTTCATTAGCTCATTACAAAACTATCCTCTCATCCTCTCATATAATGCTTGTATTCTTCTGTTAGTTTGACAGTTGATGAAATGGATGCTCAGAAAGATTGTGCAAAAATGTTAAAATTCATTTAGCAGAAGCACTGCTAGAATCCTGGCCACCTGACTCCTCACACAGTTTTTCCCTAAATATGAGTATGTCTGTGAGAATTATTAGTTCAGGCTCAAAATTTATTGGTTGGATTGGATTTCATATATTTTATGCTTTAAATGTTCTTCATGTATTTTCTGTTTTTTATTTGTATGTATTTTTTTGTCTACTTCTTTAGGCATATTGGACATGTTGGTTGGGATCCGAATACTGGCTTTGATGTAAGTGTCTTTGCAAGCCATAAATGTTATTGCTCTAAATATGTGGGAATAGGGATCCCTGGGTGGCGCAGCGGTTTGGCGCCTGCCTTTGGCCCAGGGCGCGATCCTGGGGACCCGGGATCGAATCCCACGTCGGGCTTCCGGTGCATGGAGCCTGCTTCTCCCTCTGCCTGTGTCTCTGCCTCTCTCTCTCTCTCTCTGACTATCATAAAAAATAAATAAATAAATAAATAAATAAATAAATAAATAAATAAATAAATAAATAAATAAATATGTGGGAATACTATGGCCTTTGTGTAGGTTTTTATTATTATTCTTTTTTTGTGAATTCTAGCATTTATTTGAATGTGTTTATGTATTCCACTGAGGTTGGAAGTCTTAGTGTTGTTCTGTCATTTATGGCTATGTCTCTAAAGACAAAGATTTTATTTTTTTATTTATTTTTTTTAAAGATTTTATTTATTCATGAGAGACACATAGAGGCAGAGGTAGAAAGAAGCTTCATGCAGGGAGCCCGATGTGGGACTTGATCCCGGGACCAGGATCACACCCTGAGCTAAAGGCTCAGGCAAACACTTAACTGCTGAGCCACCCAGGTGTCCCTAGACAAAGATTTTATACTCCTTTGGTTTATATACTATAACATAGGGGCACCTGAGTGACTCAGTTGCTTAAACGTCCAACTCTTGGTTTCAACTCCAGTCATGATCTTAGGGTCATGAGATTGAATCCCACGTTGGCTCTGTGCTCAGCATGGAGTCCGCTCAAGGTTCTCTCTCTCCCTCTCCTCCTGCCTCCTCTCCCTGCTTGCACATGGACGTTCTCCCTTTCTCTCTCTCAAATAAATAAATAATCAATCTTACATACTGTGATATAAAATTCTTGGGTGTTAAAAGCCAAGAGAAGAAAATCATTTCTGCTAACTGATCATTTTAGGGGAAAGTATGCCAAATTACTGGAAAGTACTATAATCAAATTTTGAATATCCAGTTATTAAATTATCTAGATCTTTTCATTCTTTGTGGCAGTTTTTGCCATTATTTAATTTATAGTACCATGAGCAAAGTAGGCAAAACTGCTGGCAAAAATAAGTGTTTTTAACATTTTTATCTATTTTAGTTGCTTAAGTAATATGTTTATCCCATTTGACTGATAATCTAGGTTTGGGAAAATTATTTTGAAGAGAAATATGATTTGTGATTGGGGGCAGAAATCCTTCTGGTTATTTTTGTTATAACTGCAATGTTAACTCCACATTTATTGAATGCTTCTTTGTGTTGGGCTCTGTACAGGATGCTGAGGTTGTAAGGAGGCCCTTTCCTCAAATTTTCAAGTTGATTTACTTTTTAAATTTGTGGTTATATTTAAATCTTATTTAGAAATAGGTGAACATTGGAGAGATATCTTAATCATGAATGAGTGAGATTCCTTCTTTTTGAAGATAGGGAACAAAAAGGGAAAAAATTATTCTTTGTTCTTATCTTTTTTATTTTTTTTTAAATAAGGGAGTTTAGTTGGCTTATAAATAATCCATGTTAAAAATATATAAATTTAAAATAATTTCATAAAGGGCACAGGTGAGAACTAAATTTGAATGTGATCATGTGCTAAGTTTTTAAAAATTGGGATACATTTTATAGTTAATAGTTATTTTATCTGTTGTAGCTGAATAATTTGGATCCAGAATTGAAGAATCTTTTTGATTTGTGTGGAATCTCAGAGGCACAACTTAAAGACCGAGAAACATCAAAAGTTATATATGACTTCATTGAAAAAACAGGAGGTGTAGAAGCTGTTAAGAATGAACTACGAAGGCAAGGTAATATTTTTTTTCTATTGAGGTATTCTAATCTTTTTTTTCTTGTGAATCTTTTGAGGTCAGTTTCATGGAAGACAGCTACACATACTCATGTGAACTTTCCTTAAGCAAAATACTAAAATTTTAGATAAGTAGTTTGGTCTGGCTGCTTTGCATTATTTTGCTGTAACCAAAAAATTGGATAAGATTTTTCTTCTTAAATATTAAAAAGTCTTACATTGGGTACCTGGTGGCACCTGTGGCTCAGTCAGTTAAGCATCGGACTCTGATACCAGCTCAGGTCTTGATTTCTAGGTTGAGTTCAAGCCCCATGCTGGGTGTATAGCCTACGAAAAAAAAATTTTAAGAAGTCTTATATTAAATTCATGAATATCCATACAAAATCTTTTGACTATTCTATTTTAGAATAAAAAATTATAGCTGCCTAGTATTTCACTTAATGAACCTTAGAAACCACCATTAAAGTTTTTTTATTACAGCTCAGAAGTAGTAATTTAAAAATAATCATTGTCTAGTCAGTGATGTATAAGTATTTTCAGAATATAAATAATGAAAACCTGTTTAATTTGAAATACATTTTTTTTCTTGATGAAGTATAAACTTTATCATTTAATACCTTGAGAATACAATTTGCATCCTTTTAAGATCTGATATTTTATTTAAAGCACCTTGTATTTTAGTTGTGTCTTAATAATTACCACAATAAAATACAAACTCAATAACTAAATTTTCCAGTATGAGCATCATCTTTTTGCCACCTTATTCATTTGGGATTGCTTTTGTTCTTCCTAGTTTTTATGTACTGGAGCAAAAGCTTTAGGTACTCAAAGCATTTTTCTGAAGAATTTAACTGTCATTTTAAATTAGGTATTTGACTTACCTATATCTTTTTCACTAATGATGTTCATTCAGTCTTTTCATTAATTCAGATATTCTGTAAACATTTTTATGCCAGCACTGGTTTTCCTTCAGGATATTTAGATGTAAATAAAAGGTTTCTGTCCTCAAAAATCTTATACTGTAGTGTGGAAACAGATATGTAAACAAGCATACTGTCAAAAATTGCTATTGTAGAAACACAATGTTAGTTTTAATGAAACTAGTATGATCCTAATTTATCTTATTTTTTGAAAAAATTACATTTCCAGATTCTATGGATTTTTAATAAAAACATCTTGGGCATAGCACCATTGTTTTTAGATGCTCCCAGAGTAAGTCACATTTACTATTAGTGTGTTTCTTGCCTCTCTCTTTGTGCACTGTTACCACGCACCTTGACATTACTCTATCAAATGTCACCTGGCGTCTCTCTGAGTACTCTGAATCTATAAATTTATAAATCATTCCTGACATTTAGTAGGTCATGCATACACCTGCTGTCATACCTGAATTCCTGTACTAAGAGTTGACTATATTAATGTGATTGGGTTTGTTTTTAAAATTTTATCATGATTGCTTTTTATTCTAGCTGCTTTAAGCAAGGTCTTTCCTTAATTCAGTTACCTAAAACAAAAAAATAATACAGGCATTAAAAAAACATGCTTTGAGAACAAAGTTAAATTCTTTTCATACTCAAGAACTTCTCTCTCAATGTGGAATCTTTTAGATACCGAAGAATGACATTATAGAAGGTTTTTTTAAAGGAAGAATAAAAAGACTAATGATTTATTAAGGAACTGTTTTCTAGGCAGAATATATAACGTGTTTAGAAGCATAAAAAGAAATTTATGAAGTTGTCTTAATATATTTTATTAAAAAAATTATATATACTTTGTAAAATCTACTGAATCAAATCTCTTGAAATTTGTTTTGTAAAATTATGTGATCAGATTTTTAAAAGTAGTAGACTTGTGATTTCCAACATGTTTTTTGTGTGTCTTTGCAATTGTTTGAAGACCATTAATTAGTAATAATATGCTATATAGGTCCATCACAGTGGAGTGGTTGTATGTGGAATGTTATTTGGCCTAGTACTCTAAATTATGCACGCTTTGATATGTTTATTTTCAAAGAAGTTAAGAGTTCATTTATACTGCTTCCATAGCTAATATGCAGTGAGATTATTTGCCCTCTACTCAAATGAATGTTTTTGCCATATAGAGGCTAAAGAGAGAAAATTTATTTCTGTATGAGTCAGAACTCCTATTTCATCTGGATTTTTAAAAAACCCCTCTTACCCATAGCACCACTGTTTTTATTTTTGCTTATTATACTTATTCCTAGGGATTGTTTTTCACATTTGGCATTATTTGAGTAACCTATATAAAATATACTTAGATTTTTACATGAATTTGGGTCAGGGAAGGGGTACTAAATATAAATACACAGTTCTATAAATGCCTACTCAGGGAGTTGTTGGTATTCTCATAAATTTAAATTTATGTTGAATAGCATTTTTCTGTTTGCTTTACTTTGATGAGAGTGCATGAGAGCAGTTCTTTTAGTTTCCCGAATTCTGGGAAATGAACTAGGGGTGGGGGTGAATGGGTGACGGGCACTGAGGGGTACACTTGACGGGATGAGCACTGGGTGTTATTCTGTATGTTGGTAAATTGAACACCAATAAAAATTAATTTATAAAATTAAAAAAAAAATTTCCCGAATTCTGTAATACTATATTTCTTTTAAATGTTTGTTATATTGCTTTATAGTTTCTGCTTAGAATTCCTGTAAATATCAAATATCTAGAGAGCTCTATATTCTTAATGTTGATTTGCAATAATATTTTTAAGTATGTGAGCTTTTTTTGTAGTGTAACATCAAGACAATAATCATTAGTCTTTCTTCCTTTTTAACTAAATTTTGATAGTAAGTTTTATTTGTTGTAACCTTTGTTTCATGTTTTTCACTTTATTTCCTTTTGAGAAATCTAAGAACTATTGTCACTCTGATTCTGGTGTTTGTGGTGACTTAGAAGTTTTGCAAGTCTATAGGCCATCAGATTTTCTCTTGGTGTGTGTGGTGTCTGCTTAGCAAGCATTTTTGTGCTTGTAAATGTCTAACGTTTGTGCCATCTGTTCTGTCCTCTCCTTTTTAATTCTTTCACATTTTTATGTTGGGATATGGCATGTTTTTCACATACTTTTTATGTAGAAATAATACTTATTATACAAAAATAGAAAGTTGTTAATACAGCTTTTTGTCATAAAAATATAGAGACTGTTTCCAGTCATTTTTCAAGATAATAGAAATGCTGAACTTGTGCTATACCCAAACTGGATGCAGTTAATAATTTACTCACAATCAATTAAGTCTTCCCTTTTCCCTAGGCAATGGTTTAATGTCTATTTAAATGAGTAATAGCTAGAGCCCAAATTATTCCAATAAATGTATTTACTGGAAGTTTGAAAGAATCTTTATTCTCTCTATTGAAGAAATACATCATTTTACATATAAAAGATTGTAGATCCAGAGTTCTCAGTGAGCCCATGAGAAATGATTTACTAATGCTTTTTATAGAAGGATAGGGTAGGTGTTTTCCTCTTGATTAACAAACAAGTAAATCATATTTGAAATATAAACCTTAGACTGATTAAAATTGCTTGAAAGCTTTAATGTACTGTCCTATTCAGAGTATACATATTTATGTTGTATACTCCTGGTTTTGCTCTTATATTACAAAATATGTTAGAAAAGGACTTTGCTTGTAACAAGTTTAGTAAGTCTCACTTTGGATCCAGTGAGAAAATCAAGCAAATCTTAGCTGCAACACTGAGACCTCCAGTGTGCCTTGAATTGTAAATCATAGGACCTTTACCCTGTGATGGGGGACATTTAAGTAGGGGAACCTCCTGTTTGCAGATAGATATTATTTCCACTTTTAAAATTTTATGTGCAAGGTGTGGGACGCCTGGGTGGCTCAGTGATTGAGCATCTGCCTTCAGCTCGGGGTGTGATCCTGGTTACCCAGGATCGAGTCCCATATCGGGCTCCCTGCATGGAGCCTGCTTCTCCCTCTGCCTGTGTCTCTGCCTCTCTCTCTGTGTGTCTCTCATGAATAAATAAATTAAAAATCTTTAAAAAAAAGTTTATATGCAAGTAGACAATACCCTGTGAGTATTGGTCTTTCTGCATATATTATCTAATTTTTATGATTATTTTTTATAGCATGTTTCCCATGATTGTCCCAAATTAAATTGGAAGATACCATTTTATTCCCTTTGAAATGAGGGTTTTATCCCTCCTCGCTGATATCACTGTATTATTGAACATCTAAAGGTAGTTGTTATTATTTGTAATTAAGGTTGGTATTTGTATTTTGTAAGATTGTAGAACTACCCATCACTAATATAGTTTATATCAGTAAATATACATAGTTTTTATGAATTCTAGGATTTCTCTACTCCTAAAATATTTTTTTTTCTAAAATAGTTAATTTTTCTATCCAGTCTTTAAATGAATGGAAAAATAATGAAGTTCATTATTATCTAAATTTGTGTATACTGTTGTAAAATCATGCCTCCAGAAATGTAATAAATGTACTTTCAATTTGTTTCCTTAGTGTATCTTACATTTTTATATAAGTAGAAAAAGAACATGAATATCATTAATTCTAGAATAATGTTAATTTTTTTATTAATAACTTTAATTCAGCTTTTCAGTGTGTAGAAGTTCTCAGTTAATGTATTAATAGTTAATTGTGTCTCCTGAATAAATAGTTGAATATTTTACCAGAGCAACCAACCTCCCTTACTGCCATCACTAGAATTACCATTGTATAGAAATACAGAATATTATATATATTATTATATATTATAGTATATATATTTTATTTTTTTTAGAAAATATAAGACAAAATATAAACAAGGTGGCAAAGGTTTAACTTTTAAAAGAAAAATATTCAATTTGGGTTTAGCTCAGATTAACTTGAATAAATTCTAATAGGTTATGCTGCATCAGCTATTTAATTCTGAGTGTAAATTAATTTTATAAAATAACTAAAAGAATTCAATTCTTTAAAGAGGGAAGGTACCCATTTTTATTAAAATGTTAAATAAGACTAATTGACCAAACTGTTTAATTTTGTTGTGATATTTTTGTTATTACATAAGAAAGTGTTTATTCTGTCAGAATAAACTTTACTGTCAGAAGTGGTGCTGATTCCTAAAAACCGAATTCCACAGTCTTAGCTAAGAAACAAAAAGATGATCTTTAGTTGAGTATTTCTAAATAGAATTGTATCATCTGTGCTCACCAACTTTGTCAAATAAAATGCAAAGATGAGTCCTTCTTTTTCTTGTATCATTTTTTTATACATATTGAAGTAAGGTGTTTTTTTTTTTTTTTCAGTATGATGTTTGTGGAGGGAAAAAGCATGCTTTCTTTTTTCTGTTTCTATTTCAGCGCCACCTCCTCCACCACCCTCTAGGGGAGGGCCGCCACCTCCTCCCCCGCCTCCACATAGTTCCGGCCCTCCTCCCCCTCCTGCCCGGGGGAGAGGCGCTCCTCCACCACCACCTTCTAGAGCTCCCACAGCTGCACCACCACCACCGCCTCCGTCCAGGCCAGGTGTAGGAGTCCCTCCGCCGCCACCAAATAGGATGTACCCTCCTCCGCCTCCAGCCCTTCCCTCTTCAGCACCATCAGGGCCTCCACCACCGCCTCCACCCCTGTCATTGGCGGGGTCAGCGGCACCACCCCCTCCACCACCTCCTCCACCTCCCCCGGGGCCACCACCTCCCCCTGGCCTCCCTTCTGATGGTGACCATCAAGTTCCAACTCCTGCAGGAAGCAAAGCAGCTCTCTTAGATCAAATTAGAGAGGGTGCTCAGCTAAAAAAGGTGGAACAAAACAGTCGACCGGTATCCTGCTCTGGAAGGGATGCACTTTTAGACCAGATACGACAGGGTATTCAGCTGAAATCTGTAAGTAAACTGTACCTTTCAGTTTAGACTATCTGTCTTATGGAATTTTAAAGTAATTTAAAAGACAACTTGGAAAGTCTTTAATTCACTTTCTGCTCTTTCTCTTGGTATTCATGTAACCCTTTGAATTTCTGATAGTTTTACATACCATCAAACACACACATTGATACCTACTCTTGTGTAACCCATACTTTTGTAATCAAAATATCACCCCAGAAAAAGTTCCCTCATGCCTGTTTTAGAACTTCATGTAAGGGGAATATTACAACATGTTTGCTTCACTTCTGAATAAAATTTACTCTAAATTTAAAGAAAAATCTTTAAACCATGGAGAAGTAATCCCTGCCTTTAACGAATTACAAGTACCTTGGTAAGTTCAAACCATTAATTACCTTTATGGAAACTAATGCATTCTAAAGTTCCTGTGTTCTGAAATTTAGATTAGTAGGGAATCCAGTTCTGCAGAGAATTGAAAGAGTTCTAATAGAATTTTCGATAGTGGTAGTAGATAATTTTGGAATCTCTGTACTAGGTGAGGCAGAAGTTGGCAAAATTTTTTTTTTTTAAAGGACCACATATAAATATTTTAGGCTTGCAGGCTATGTGGGTCTCTGTCACAACTACTCATTTCTACTGTTGAGCCATAAAAGCAGCAGCATAGATAGTGCCTAATCAAATGGGCATGATTGTGTTCTATAAAGCTTATTTAGGGACACTGAAATTTGAATTACATGTAATTCTCACATGTCACAAATATTCTTCTTTTGATCTTCTTCTAGCCATTTAAAAATGTAGAACTAATTGTTTACTTGAAAAAGTTCTACAGAAATAGGACAGACTAGATGTGGCCCATGGTAGTTTGCTGACCCCTTTTCTAGAACCTAAACTGCCTATATTTACATACTTCCTTCAGGGTACATGTAGTCTGTTAGTTCCAACAGGAACATTTGCTCTGTGGGGCTTCAGATGAGTATGGACGGTAGTTCTTCTATGGAGTAAATGAAGATGAAAGGAGATTTTAATAGAAAATTATTTTGTGACGTAGAGAATTATGGTAACGTTCTAAATCTCCAGAGCTTTGGCTAGGAAGAGAATAATGGATACGGAACACAGCTAATTGAATGAAAACATTTAAACATTGACATAGCACAGATTTTAAAAACTCTCTTTAAAGTGTATCTAGAGCTTTTTCTGCCAGGTGATCCACCTGTGAGCAGCCGTCCCTGTTCCCTCTCCCCCTTTAGTTTAGACTAAAGGTTTCTCAGGAACAGTTGAAGAATTTTGAATAGTTGTTAGTGGGAAGAATTAGTGTCAAAATGACCACAGCCAAGGTGAGTAACAGGTTTTAATGGAGTCATTTTCAGTGTGTAGCTTAGAATCTGTGCCCCCTCTCGCCGTGTCACTCATTCCCATATCTGCCACTCTTAACTTCCCTTTTTGTTTTTCTTTACTATTTTCTCTCTCTTCCACAATCACCTTTTATTTCTTTCTCTCATTTACTGAGACTAATAACTTGTTATTTTTAATGAAGTTGTGTTCTCTTTTTAAAATCACATCCCATGTCATCTTTTCCTAATTTAAAAAGTTGCCAAATTAAATTCCCTATTAATTTTCCCCGTCATTACTTCTTCCCATCCCATCCCATCCCATTCCATCCCATCCCACTCTCTCCCTGCCCAAAACACCTTGTAAGTAGATCTCTACATTTTTTAGAGGGAAAAATGTGTTCCATTCTAAGCATAGGCCATCCTTACCCTAAATAATCACTTTTTAAAAAAATTGGCTGCAGAGTAATATCCTAAAGGGCATAAGTCAGTAAATTATTAGCATATTATATATGTGATCTGAGACCATAATTTTATTTCATTTTTTAAGAAACCATTCTGTGGTTGAAATTTCTCTAGCTGTGTTTCTTTAAACTGTCTATATAAATCATTTATTCAGTGATGAAAATGACTAGCATAAGATCAGATTTACTTAAAGAGCTGACAGAAAGGGTATAGGTATTCACTTACATATATTTTGAATTCCATGTTCACAGTACCTAAACAGCACTGTGTCCAAGTCAGTGCTTTAGAAGACGTATTTATGGTAGTGTTGTGCTCCTACCGTGCTACCCGCTTGGTATTGCCAGCTTCTTCAAGGGAGTCCTTCTGCCTTTGGCTGCCGCGCTCCTTTGATGGCCTTATGCTGACATGAGGCCAACACCTAAATACTAATGAATGAGTCAGTATCTTATGGAGAATTACTTTGAATATTTTTAAAAGAAAAAGATCTGTAAGTCCAGAAAGACCAGTAGTAGTATTAGGAGAAAAGTTGTAAAGACCAAAATAAAAAGTTTGCCCTAAGAAAATTTTTCTTTTTTTTCTTTTGAAAATGATTTAGAATTGAAATGAAACAACAGTGTGATTTCATTTTAATTATACCAGTATTCTACCTTTACATAAGTAATATAATTCCAGACACAAAATGAACAAAATAAGTATTTTGTATAAATGACTGCTCAGTTTAAAGTACACTTAGAGCAGTACTTTCGAATTTTTTTTTCCTGAATCTCTACAGAGTTCTGTATTCTCTCTTTTTAAATGAGAGTTAAGATCAGAGAATATTTTGTACAGAAATTAGATTTTAATGAGACCCCTTGAGGTTAATTCCCCCCCCCCCTTGAATGTAGTTTATACTAGATAGAAGTACTTAATTTAGGGATAGTTGGTTCAAGCCTTGTGAGGTAGGTACATTTTGAAAGCTACCTAACCTAACTGACCTCTTTGAAGAGAAGTTATATGCTATGAGAAGGAAAGTTTATTTTGAGTTAAAGCTTATATATACACATACACAGACACACACACATATATACATGTGTGTAATGTTACATATTACTTAATATCATATGAGGTATGAATGTAAGTATATAAAGTTATAAAGCTTTTGTAATAAAGCTGAGTTTTCCTAGGAGAGCAGAAGTCTCTTCAGTTGCTCTTAGACATCTTAAGTGTCCTTCTCACTTAACAACTCCAGGAATCTGGGTATTATAGTTTTATAAAATGATATTCCTTGATAATAGTTTTAAAGTTTCATCAGCTAAGGCTTTGTGTACTAAAATGAAAATGAACAGAAGTAATCCAGCTGTAAGGGCAAGTATTATTTAGGGAAAGGTTTGTTATTCTAAATTATAAAATATGTTGGTGGCTTTATACATTAAGGAGAATGAAATATATCTTAAATAATTATTTTAAGACAGCAATTTATTTCTTCTTAACTTAGTTAATCCTGTCATTTGCTTATTTGCTCTTTTTTTTTTTTTTTTTAATAGGAAGTGATTCTAAAAAAGTAAGACTTTGGAGACAAAAATTTTTTGCTAAGAATTTATTTTTAAATTTTGCTAACTTATTTTCCCCAAGGTATCTGATGGCCAAGAATCTACACCACCAACACCTGCACCCACTTCAGGAATTGTGGGTGCATTAATGGAAGTAATGCAGAAAAGGAGCAAAGCCATTCATTCTTCAGGTATATTTTCATGTGTATATGTATATTTAATTTTAATATTTGAAGTTCTATTTTCTATTTTGTTGTTGTTGTTGTTGTTATAGTCTGTTAGCTTTTTCCCTGCTATTGAATAACACTGATGTGGATTTTAGGGCAAATTTTTAAAAGTTGTTGCCACTGTGATTAATCTATCTGAAGCCTAATGAGTTCCAGGACACCATAGCCATAACCACAAATTGGAAGAACGACTTAAGAAAAATGGCAATTTCATCTCCTATATCAGAAATACTAATAGAATGCCTGGCAAACTTCTGAACGAGGCTTGAGATTCTGGATTTCATTCCTGTGACATTCTTGTGACATGAGAAATTCAAGTTCCCCTGATTTGTGAGAGTCAGGGCTGAGAAACTGGTTTTCTGGGATTTGCTAATGAATCTTAAAGTTTTTTGTGTCTTCTTTTTTGGGATTTCCTAAAAGGTTTATTTGAATAAACTAGTCTCTATTCTGAGGCCATTATTAAGCATATGTGCACCACCATATAAGTAGGTATTACTTTCAAAAGAGAAAGCAGTGGGTCTTGCTGATGTAATACTTGAGGTTTACTAAAGAGCTTACCCAGCATGATGGACCAGAATCAGTTCTTTATTCATATTAATCTATTATTTACTTTCTGTGGACCTCAATTTTCTTACATGTTGTATGGAGAGAATTCATGAATCATATTCATGAATATGAAGAATAAAATAATATGTAAGTAACCAGCAGATTACATAGCACATAGTAGTAGGTGCTCAGTAAATGTCATTTTTCTTCTCTTTGTTTCTCTGTAAGGAGGTGGATATCTAGGATCTGTTACCAATATTTGTTTTCCTTAAATAGACCTCTTTCTTCTCATACTATGTAATAAAGATAGAATAGGCTAGTTCATTCCACAAATATTTATCGTGGAATAAAAAAAAAAAACAAAAAACAAAAATCCTGGCCTCCATAGAGCATGCATTCCAGTGAGAGACAAACAGTAAAATTAAGTTAGAAAAATATATGGTAAGTGATGATTATGTACTGAGGACAAAAATTAAGCAGAAAAGGGAGATATAGGGACTTCTAAGATGTGTGAGGGAAGTTCATTTTGAAATAGGATGAGGACTAATAACTGATGTGACATTTGCAAGAAGACCAGAAGGAGTTCAGGGAGTAAACCATGTAGAAAACATGTTCATTCAGGTGGAAAGAACAGCAAGTGCAAAGTCCCTAAGGTTGAGGAACATTAGTGAGGTCAGTATGGCTGAGTAAGGAAGGGAGGGAAAGAACAGTAAAGTAATGAAGTGTGAGAGGTAGTAGGAAGCCAGTAGTGAGGCTTTGGAGGCCATGAGTGTCATGGGAGGCCACTGAAAGGTCCTTAGCAGAAGAATGGCAATGAGCCAGGAAAGAGACAGTAGAGGTTTGAATCAGATTGGTAGCACCAGTGAGCAGGAGTTGGATGCTTGAAATATTTTGAATCTGGAGATCTTTGGGTTTTCTGATGGATTAGAAGTGAGGTTTGGAAAAAAGAAAGGAGTGAAGGATAACTCCCCAAGATTTTTGACATGAGCATGAAAGGAGTGAAGGTTTGAGAGGAAATATCAGGAGTTTTTTTTTTTTAAATATTGAATACTTACTAAAAATTCAAATGTAGATGTTGTACAGGCATTTGGTTATGAGCCTGAAATCGAAGGGCGAGGTCTGGACCGTTAATATAAATTTACCTGCGGTTAAAATAGGTGAGGTATTTAAAGTTACAGAACTATCTGGGATCATTAAAGAAGTGGATGTAAAAGGGGAAAGAAGGTGTAATAAGGTCTGAAGGCTGGAGAGTGTATTGTCTTAGAAGATACATGAAGTGTTGGAAGGAGGATGGAGTGACAATCTGAGTCAAATGTGTGTGATTGGTCAAGATAATGAGAACAGGAAATTGAGCTCTAGCTTTAGCAACAATAGGTCATTGGTGACCTGGAAAGACCAATGTCGTTGGGTTCAGGAGAGAATGGGAGGGTAGGAAGAGAGGCTGGCTTTTGAACTGCCTGCTGTGTTTCCTTAGTGGCTTAGTGTCAGTGAGTTTCCTGCCTATTGCTGGAATTATAACAGGAACAGGTAGCTGAACAATCTTGTCAGGTATATTTTTTACAAATTTTCTTTAAAGGTAGTTATTAAAGGGGCATTTCTTAGATTTGAGATATGTGAAAATTCAGAGGCCAACCTAAATGTGGGTTTACACATAAGAAGCACTGGTTGAAATTTGTTACATAGATACTAAGGAATTAGAATCCAAGTCTTCTAACTTCTGTTGTAATCTTCAACTGACCTTCATACTCTTTAGGTGTATTTTATTTGTTTCATCTTAAGTTGTCCTAGTAACCAGATTCCTCCAGAAATCGAATGGTTTTATTTCAGAAATTAAATAATTGGAGAAATCATCCAAGAATCATGTAATGTTATTTTATTTATATATATATATATGTTTAGATTGTTTATCTTGATTATTTTCTTCTAGATGAAGATGAGGATGAAGATGATGAAGAAGATTTTGAGGATGATGATGAATGGGAAGACTGATCTATATATTATATATATATATATATTTTTAAGGTGAAATACTAAACACTACTTTCTGTCTATGGGTTCTGTAAAATTATCATGTAAATGTTCTACCAATTTGCTGTATATTTTTGTTGCCTTTTTTGCTTTTTTTTATTAATCTGTGCAATACCTCATTTAATCTGTAAAGGTTTGTCAAAATCCTCTACAAAGCTACTCCCTGTTATTGTGTGCAAGTTTACACCAGGATGCTCACTTAATTTGTGAATATTTTTCATTCCATCAGCAGGGGAGTTTAAATATTATACGTGAGACTGACAAAAACCTTAATGTAATTTAGTTATAATGCCAGAAGGAAAACACTATTTTCATACCCTACTTTTTCTGTACCTAAATTTTCTTATTAAAATCTAGTATAGCACTACATTCTTTTTTAAGTGATACAGACCTTAGTTTATTTAGCCCCTTCATTTTGAACACCATGCTACATGAATGTTGAAGCTGACACATTGCACAGTTCTCTAGACATCACTACACTGATGGAGTTTTTTAAGTTGTAGCAGTATGCTCTACATTATGTCACTACAGAGACGCTAGTCGGGAAAATTAGTGACACACCTCTTACAACAATATTGCCTGTTCTTGTACAGAAGTGGTATTTGGAGGCTGGAATCATAAGGAGACCTTGCATACCTTTACTTGACTGAGATTATTTTTATGCTATAGCAAATGTGGCAGGCTCTTTTTAGCAAAAATTTAAAAATATTTTTGGTATTACTCTTAAACAATTAAGTTTTTGCAGTTTGGGGGACTTTTGGGGTAATATTCTACGTGAACTGAAGGAGGCTATACATTATGGTTACTTCAGTATCTAGTTAAATATACTATAAAAATCAGAACATTATAAAAATGATGTGGAATTATTTTTATTGTGTAATGTGTATGGATTGAGGTATTCAGAAATACCAGCCGTACAAATAGAATCTAGCTGGCAAAGGTAAACACTGTAATGCTGAACCTATTACGCTATTTAATTTTTTTTTAATAATTTCTCAAGGTTTTTGTCAAATGTCAGGTGAAGGGTTACATTTTTCTTAAAAGATTGGTGGTCCCAGTGTCATATTTCTTGAAATACATAACTGAATGATAGATTCTTTTTTTTTTTTTTAAATAAAACTTTACAACCTGCACATTTGTTATGTATACTAAATGATGTGTTAAAGTTAGGGTTTCCTTGCCTCTCTACAATACACTAATCTGCCTAAAGATGGTTGTTTTCATATTTATAGTGCTAATTACCAGACCTACCTACTTTAAATTTTAGGTAGAGAAATGATCTGATTTAAATACAGACACGTATTTTTCTCACATTGAGTCATACACAGAATGTAGTTCCAGATGTATTTCAATACTATAATCACAATATCCAACTAAAAATTAAGCTCTCTAGAATTGTACCGACCAAAATCTAGTATTGACATGATCTTGACAGGCTGGACCTGCAAGATATGGCTTGAATTTTAACCAGTTATCACATAATCTCTAGTGATCATGCATCTAGTTATCATAAGAAATAATTTAAAAGGTTTTGTTGCCTGAAAGCAGTTAAGTGGTACAGTAAGATAGTTAAGTTATTCAAAGAATGTTACCTTTCTTGCAAGAGTAATTTAAACACATGGGAAAGATTCTAGACTTTTTGTTTCTTGCAAAAACAGTGCCCTCTGCTGCTAGAAACCTTTTTCTGCTTACTCTCATTTTTATTGTGGCTTGAACTCAGTGACACTGAGTCTGGTGTGGATGAGGCTGGACAACTACTAACCAATAGAGTTAGGAATTTGTGCAAATGGTAAATAGAACATTATAATTATTTTAAGTAAATATTAAGCATCCTCCCCTTTTTTGACATTATGAAAAACATTTTAAATATCCTAGAAAGGTCCTTTAAGGTATGCCAATTTAAGATCTCTCTTAACTTTTGGCCAAGGAATTCAAGGTTTTCCAGCTAACTTCGGTGTGATAAATATTTATCAGGAGCTGCTCCAAGGAAAGGATATCAATTCTTTTGAGTTGGAAACACAATTTTCAACATGTAAGATGGGTATACAATTTGCTAAAGGTAATTGAATTTATTCTTCAAGAAAAAAAGGCTTTCTGTTATTGTTGCACAAAGTCTAAATTACTATTGGTTGAAACACAGCAGCAGTGGAGTTGAGTCCAGGCATGAAGATTAAATCCACTGTAGATGTAACGGTTGCATGTTTCAGCCTTCCACCACCTTGCACTGTGGGCAGCACTGTATCTGCGCGTTGTCTGAAAGCCTCCTGTGTATACTGCAGCTAAATGATTGTCCGATAGCCTTCGCATTTAACAAACTAGCATGAGGCTTTTTATATCTAAATGCTACGTGATAGACAATTTCAGCTAGCCACATATTGTATGCGTGAGATTCATAAAGACTTTTCAATCATTCATTTCCATTTATCAACTGAAATTTTGTTTAGTATGTGAATTTTTTTGAAATGTATAGTGATAGGATGTTGCACTGGTGGCAATTCATCATGGAGCATAATAAAATTAATTTGACCCAAATAGACTAAAGTAGCTGTGTTTTTCTTTATTGTTAAGAGATTAAAATGGGTAAAAAATCATTTTTTTACTGTACACTACAGTAAAGGGCACACAGCAGTGAGTGATGATGGTCGAAGTCTTCAGCAAACTGCGTGCCCCAAGAGAGTGTGCCATTAAATAAACACAGTGAGCAAAAAGAATGCTACACCCTGTTCTGCTGGGAAACAGCTGCTCAGCAGCTCCCTGGAAGCCACTGCTGTGGTATACAGAGCATTCACATTGCAAGGTCAAACTGAAGCTCTTTGGCATACCAAAAATGTTGAAGTTCCCTAAAATCAGAATGAAACTGAAGTTTACTGGTCATTTCAGTAAAAGCCAAATATAGCAGTTCATGTGGGACTTAAATAAATGGTATCCAAGATGGAACTTTAAACAGGAACTTCAGTTTTGATAAATAGAATTTTTTGTGCCGCTGACTTTGGGACAAGTGGGTGTCTGAAGATTAAACTGAGTTATGGAATCTAGTGTGTAGGATGCTACAAAACGCCTCCTAAGAGCTTTAGCCGAATTTAAACATTTCAGTAATATGTTCTATTAAAAATTTGTTTCTATTGTGCAGATGTGAACACTAAAGAATGTATTAATCAAACTTTAAAAAAATTTTTTTGAGAGACAAATGCCTCAGAATTGCCCTTGTCGCATTGTATTTATCTAATCAAAGGAGAAATTCCTGAAATAACTTACTCTCCTTTAGAAATGGCGTTCTTAAAGGACAAGTATAGCGATAAAGTCTATTTATAGTACAATAGAAAATTCTCTATGAAAAAATTTTACATTGCACACTTTTATTGACGTTATGTCTTGCCTACAAAATACAGCATTCTCCTATAATTTCTTAGTCTTTTATTGATGGATTTTTTTAACCTTTGCTTTTTAGTGAACCCACTGGGAAAAGGTATAATAAATTGGCTGTTATAAATATGACAAGGAACATACATTAACTGCAAACAGTTAATGCTACGACTGCCTTTACTTCTACATGTGCTATGTGGTATCCTTGCATGAAGGAGTCCATTGAAAATTTTGGTTTTATAACAAAACATGTCTACATAAATCAGCTGCAGCTTTTTTTTTTTAAATATATATCAGTGGTCATCCTAACTTGCTGCCGTATTTAATTTCACACAAGCCCAGTGTAAATCTAAATTGGTCGTATGTACCACCATCAGGATTGACATATCAAGATCTGAATTGCACACAATCATTTTGAGTAAAATGTGACAGTAGCTTATGTGTGGTTTCAGGTTAGTCAAATATTTGCATATTGGGGAATTTCTAGTATTTTGAAGTCCTTTAATTTTTTAACAACCACAAAAATTTCTTACATTTTAGTAAGAAATTTTTTAAAATTTTCTAGAGGAAGTTGCATTTTAGCAGTATCAAATTACATTATGGAACTGGAAGTTCCAGGTATCATACTGACATTGCTTTCTGTCTTGGACTGGTTGGCATGTCTTGACCTAAATTCACTTTTATCTTGATTATGGCTAGATGTGTGGGGATTTTCATCCAAATCCGATTCTAAGAAGTTTTAAGCATATCATCATATTTAAACAATTGTGTATTAAGACTAAATAGATAATGGACATTAAAATATAATTGTAATAAAGTAGATTCCCTTCCTCCTTAAATCTAAAATACTCATTTCACAGCTGAAAGACAGCTGAGTTTCATCAAAGCAACTCTCTTCAGTAGTAGAGGGGCAAGCCTGATGTTAGAAAGAGCTATACTAGAATTCAGATGTGACTACTAGTTCGGTTGTTTTTTTTCATGCACCACAATACTGTGTTATCCTCGTTTTTAAGATTTTTTTTTTTTTTAAGATTTAAAAAGGTTTTTTTTTTTTTTTTTTAAGATTTTATTTATTCATGAGAGGCAGAGGAAGAAGCAGGCTTCCTGCAAGGAGCCCAATGTGGGACTCCATCCTAGATCCCGGGATCAGGCCCTGAGTTGAAGGCAGACGCTCAACCACAGAGCCACCCAGGGGTCCCTCTGTATTTATTTTTAAATTATGAATAAATTACAGATTTACTTTGTTCCTGAAAGATTTATGGCTATAAATTTCACTCTTTCTCATTTGCCATCTGGGTGTTGATAGAAGCCACCAGCATCCTGTTCCCCTCTCTGCCTGGGAAAGCTGCTTGCTTTGAGGAGTCGGCCTCTGACTCTGAAGCATGTGATTGTATTTTGGCTCAGTGATGGTGGACACCCAACATTGTCCAAGCATTCGGTCATCACAGGACACTCTTGTCATTTAGTACTGGGTTAAAATAAAATTGAGCTTTATTTTCTACACTCAAATTATTTGTGTTAGTTTCCTATGGATGTAACAGGGTATTGCCTTTATTTAGACATAAGTATTTTGTAAGCCTTTAGCACTCAACTTGCCTGACAGAAAATTAGTTTGAGAACGTATTAATCTTTCTGTATAATTTTCAGTCAACAGCTGCAGTGTGAATTTAAAGACTGGGAGTTCTTCCAAGAGATCAAGGACAAACTGAACACTTTCAATCCAACTTCCTGGTTTTCTTATTAGAGAGGGGAGATTCTAATTTAGTGGCGTGTATTTCACCCTTACTGGAAAAAAAAAAAACGCAGGAAAATAAAGCTTATATTCCAGTGCTTGTGGTGTTGAAAGAAACAAATTGAAAGGAAAAGGCATCATTAGGTGCAGTTAACTATAGGGAGACCTAGCAAAGCCTTTGTTCATGTCTCAATTCTATAGTGATCTGTTAAGGATCTAGCTCCTTAAATCAGCTTCTGTCTCTAAGAAGAAACAACCTTTATTTTATTTATTTACTTTTTTGTTAGGGTGGAAGTCTTAAGGAGGCAGAGAATAGAAAGAATTTGTTTTTGCAAGCAGACTTTTTGTCTTTGGGGTTGGGAAAACATTCAGCAAGTAAAATGGAGTGTGTCAAAATCTTCATTTTGAAAAGTGATAACTAGTTAAGCTAATGAAATCGGATGTTTGGCTTTTGTTTATTCATTAAGCAAGGATACAGGTGTACCTAGGTGGCCCAGTTGTTTAAGCGTCTGACTCTTGATTTTGGCTCAGGTCATGATTTCAGGCACTCTCATCTCAGAGTCTGCTTGAGATTCTCCTCGCTCTGGCCCTCCCACTCCTGTGTCCTCTCTCTCTTTCTAAAATGACATCTTCAAAAAAAAATTTTTATTCTAAAAAAAAAAAAAGGCTATAAATGCAGAGGGGCCAGCTTTTTCTTAATTGTATATTCAGCTAAAACTCCATCTACATCAGTCTTCAAATAGAGAATTCAACTGTTTTTCCTTTTTTAAAAGATTTCTCTGAACTTTGCCGTGGATATTTGCCAAAGGCTGTGATGTAGTTAACATGAACAATTATGGAATTATGAAAGACTCTGATTTAATAAGCATAATCCTAGAATTGCAACCATTTTCTTTCTAAGCCACTGGTAAGTAGAGCACGCACATTATGGTTCTACTTAAGTGGTCTTGCTTTGTCCCTGGTTGAATGCTTGGAAGCTATAGAATATGTTTGTAAGGACCTGCTGCTTAAAAATATTTAGGAAATTTGAGTTGATTC